ATTTATAAAATAAAAATTTACTATACTAATATTTTAAAGAGGAAAGATTTGTATTTTTTACATTTAAAAACTATTGGACCAGTAAATAAATTGGAAAAAACAGTCAGGCGAAAAAGAGAAAAAAACTACTAGCAGCAGTAGCAATGTTGCCATGGTTACTCATAAATAATTCTCAGCCAATGGCATAAACTTTCGCTGTTATTCGACTATTGGCCATTTACAAGTAATTAATAATATTATTTCACAATTCACAGGTAAAGTGTTTTGCGCGTCGTGCAGTTCAAACTCCATCCCACTGCCCCGGTACGGTCAGATGAAGCCGGTTCGTGTCTGTGAAGAGTGTTACCAGAGTACACGACGCCATCGGTGAGACACAGGTTAATGCCACACAGGTTAACGCCACACAGGTTAACACCACACAAGTTAACTCCAGACAGGTTAACGCAACAAAGGTTAACGTAACACAGGTTATAATGCCAGTAACACAACGATTCAACTATAGGTTAAATAGAGTACTACAATCAAACAAATTTAAAAGAATATATAGAGTAAGCATAGTTGACTCTTCACTCGAGACTTTTTTTACATAAACATACTATTGTCAGCCTCGAAACCACACGTCAATATAGTTAATTGTATTTAAATTAATTTTCAATAGGCTGAATCATACTAAAATATTTTGTGACACTGTTTAGTTTTTTTTATAACAATAGATGGAGCTTAATGTATTTTTTAAAATTGGCAATACACGCCAACGACACGAGATGGCATACTAAATTTGACAACTGATTTGTTACCTGTCAGAGAAATTACCGATAAAAAATGTTCACTATGCCTAGTCTATATCTCTTAAATGTCTGACTACAATGTGGAGCAACTTGAGTAAAGTTATAAGTTACTGGTGTAAAGGCAGTAACACACCACAGTGAACCAACAGGTTAAATATTTGAAGTTCGAAAGGGTAAAAAGTAAAAAGATCATACTTTTACATCACTGTTATATCCAAAGATTCTAAATCATGTAAATCGCAAACTTTTAAAATACAAGATTAAAAAAGTTAATATTAACGATTTGTATCTTAATGTTATTTTGTGGGTAAAATGTTTAAAATCTCTGCGTCTCTATTCTATTAATTAAAAAATGTGTAAGAAAGCATAGAAAAAAAGAAAAGATGATTTTTCATGTTATGTCATGTGGACAATATTTTTTTAATATTATTGTGACTTTCAACGAATAGATATCCGCCTCAGTTTTTATAAATTTGATCGAAATTAGAGCTTGCATTAAAATTTTGTACCTGACGTTATCGAAAATTATAAAATTTATGAATGATTTGTTCTTTGATGAAAAACCACTAGGAAATTAAACTCAAAACAAATATTACAATCATATATGTATTTTTTGTTTATTTGACGTCAATTCAAGGTCTAATATAATTTAACCCATATTGTTGACACGTACAAAAATATGAAACTTGTGTATAGCCACAAAGGTTAATACCCTATCTTGTTCAATAGTCATACCCTACGTAGCTGTGACGTCATCATATTCGGTTAACGATGCACGAATATTTTCGACACAGTGGTATACACTTTTATCAATTAAATTTAAATTAAAAAATATGTTAGTTTTTTTTGAAGACGTTACGAATACTTTATCGCATATTTACGTGCTAGTGTACGAGCGACACAGATAAGAGTGTGAACACCTTTGACTAAACTATCGCACAATTGTTTAGTCTCACTTTAATTCTTATGAGCTTATATGGAGGTGCGCACTACCCGATTAGTTGTGCAACTAAACAGTTGAATTGACTGCAAAACAATCGACAATCGCACATCAGTTGTGCGATAGTTTAGTCAAAGGTGTGCGCGCGCTCTAAACTTCATTTCATGATGGCAACTTTTTGCATACTATATGTTGTTGTGACGTCACGGTTATTGTTTCATGTTTTTGTACGAATATCGTAATTTTTTTTTGTATGTAATCATTTTTTACTTTTTTGTATTGACTGATATAAAATTGGTTTACGAATAGTTTTAATTAAGAAGTTACTATTGGTAGCTCTCTAAGTAATTTTTTTTTTCATTTTCTTTGTTATTTTGAAATTTAACAACAAAATACTTCGTTTTCACGCACAGAGTTAATTAAAAGTAGACGAACCTATAAATCGACTAATTTTTCTTTTTTTTAACTATGTAAGAATTGACGATTTTTTTTTTTGAAAACATTTCTTACAATCATTTTAAGGAAAAATGTATTTTTTTAATCTATTCATGACTGAGAATGGATTGAATTGTATTTAGTGAATATTTTTAACATATCTTGTAATGAAAAAAATGTATTAATAAAAATAATGTGACGTCATTATTATAAGTATTCACTGCTTGAAACTTTTTTCAAAGAATTATTGTCATCTCTTTTATTTCCTATGGTTTGATAGAGATGGTGATATTCTTTGTGTATGTTTCGGCAGTGGAAACTCAGTTATGAAACGTTTGTTTTATTCATAAGGTTTTTTTAATGTAAAAAATACTATATTGTCTCGTTTAAAAAATTATTTTCATTTCTTATTCACCAAGTTGTATTCTTATAAATTGTAAGAAAAGTAACCATCCTGAGTCTAGAGGGGTAGACAGATATAACAAATTTATGGCATAGTTCTGGCATCTCAAATAGTTTCTTAAATTTTGTGTCTTTTTTCATTTTATGATTGTTTTGCTACTAATAAAAATAACTGAGAAAAACTTTTTAAAGATAATCTTTTTAGTTTAATTTGGACATAAATATAATAAGCGTTATTTTTAATGTTTGAAAATTAATTAAAAAAACATTTGCGAATTTGAATTGTTAGTGGACGCGGGTAAAGTGATCTCTTTGCAAAAAAATAAGGTTGAAAAAAATAACCGAAAATAAATAATCGGTTTTTTAAATTAGGGTTTTCAATGATAGAAATATATATTTTAAGAATTGAAATTTAATGTTTATATATTTTTAACGTTAATATTAAATTACAATAGATTTAATTAAAAAAAACTTTTTTAAAAATTCCATATTTTCTTTTTTTAAATATTAACGGTGTTAGTTAGGTTTTATCATAAGTCTAATGTTATTGAGATGTATGTAAATTTTGTAAAGGTAATTGCTAATATATGTTATCTATTTTAGTAAACAATTAGCGTGTTACATAGCTTTTTGTATATTATATATAAATGAAATGGTAAATATCATATAAATGCATATTAACTTCCGAGACCACAAATGTTTGAGTGATATTGCTATTGTTAATATTTTGATCACATAAAGGAAATGTATGTAATATTGGCAGTTTTATTAACAACATATACTTCCCCTTTCCTAAACCTTTGATGGACAGAGGAGAAAAATATTTCCCTTCCCACATCTTTCTTCAATCTTGTCGAATAGATTAGAATATAAGACCGGAACAATCCTATCTTAGTAATCATACTAATATTATAAATGCGATAGTTTAGATGGATGGATGGATGTTTGTAAGCGTTTGTAGTCTAAACGGCTGAACGGATCTCCATGAAATTTGGCACAGGTTTAGGGCATAGTCTGGTAGAACACATAGGCTACTTTGTATCCCGGCAATAGTTACGGTTCCCGTGGGATTCATTAATGTAGTTTTGTAATGTTTACTCGATCATTCTGCAACGGTTCAACATATCTTATTGAAATTTGGCACAGATATTAAAACAAAGTCTGGAGTACACATGGGATAAGGTTCATCCCCGAAGAATGTCCGGTTCCCGAGGGATACGTAGCTTTTTGTTATTTATATAGTTCGTATGTTTTCTAATACCACGCGGACGAAGTCGCGGGCAACAGCTCGTACTAATATAAAGAGGAAAGGTTTGTATTTTTGTATATATTTAAATAACTCAAAAACTACTTGGCCGATTACAAAAAATCTTTTATTAAAAAGCTACGTTATCAGTTACTTAGGCTACATTTTTAATTATTTTTTATATCACGCAGGCGAAGTCGCAAACTAAAATTAGTTACATGTCATTTGAGCCCTAGATGTAATTAATAATTCTAGAATAGATGGATTTAGTAGATTCAGACTTTTGTCAAACTCTTGATCAATCAGCTCAAGTTTCATGATCCCCCTCCTGGATCTGCCGTTGGGTGAGTTCCAGTATGCTTGACTTGCAGTAGTTCACCTAAAAATGGAAAAAAATATCATTAAATTATCTCAATTGGGCACATTAATGTTTTTGTTACATTTCATTTTATTAATTACATTTGTAATTAAAACATACACTGAAATAGGAATGGGTAGATCGTAAATATGTTCAGAAAAAATGTAAAAAACAAACCAACAGAGGCTTGCTTGCAACTAATGTCAAAACAATTTTTAATCGTATTTTACAATCACTGTCTTTTTCGGACTGAAAGTTTTATTTTACAAGAAATTTGGTCTAAAAAATGTCCAATGGAAAACTTTTTTTTAATTGAGAACATTTTAGAATAGTTTTTCAACATGTTTATGGACACGAAACTTAATATTTTCGTATCACAAGAAAATTACGATATATATTTTATACTAACAATTCTTTAAAGCAATAAAATGTTAAGATTATATAAAATTTTCTAGTTGTCCTTTATCAAATAAACTTGTGAACTGCAGCTCGACTGATTCACTTATTTAAAAGCTCTCAGGGAGAATTGCACTTCCAGTATCAATAAAATTTATCCAATAACTTATCTCTTACATTTAAGAAATATTAAAAAGCACTAAAATTACATTACGACAAAATGTCAACTTCTCCAATTTCTTTAAGGCGCGTTTAATTTATTTCACAATTGGTCTAATTCAAAAACTCGTTTCATCAACAGCATATTTTACGTCCACACTTTCGAGTAAATATCAATATTATTGATTTAATTCATATTAACTAATATTATAAATGCGAAAGTTTAGATGGATGGATGGATTGGACTTGGATTTTGATGAAATTTGATACAGATGTAGAGGATAGTCTGGAAGAACACATAGGCTACCCACTTTTTTTTTAATCCACGCGGACGGGGTTACGGTAGAATGCTAGTATTATAAATGCGAAAGTTTAGATGGATGGATAGATGGATGTTTGTTAGAATATGTAGGCTAAACAGTTAACGGATCTCGATGAAATTTGGCATAGATGTAGAGGATAGTCTGTAAGAACACAAAGACTACTCACTTTTGTTTTTTCTTTAATTCCGCGCGAAGTCGTTGGCGGAAGCTTGTTAAAAATCATTGTTGATTGAAGGTCCACACCGAAGAGCTACCTTGAGAGCCTACTTGAAACGTCACGTAGAGATGTTGCTGCTTTAAAGATCTTCGCCGATATGTGCAGGTTGCATCACGATATTTTCCTTCACTGTAATAATATCGAGTAAATTATAAAATTCGGAAATTCAAAAATCTAGGACCTACAGATTATAAGTCAAGTGATTAAATTGAACTGATTTCATAAATAGGCCAGCGCTTCATTTTTTTTATAAGAGAAGGAACAAACGAGCAGCGGGAACACCGAGATGTTCGTCGACGCCCATGACCATCCGCAATACCAGAGGAACTATAGATGCGTTGCCGCCCTTTGAGGAGGTGATAAGCCCGCTTCTTGAAGGACTAGGACTAGCAGTTTGGGAATACCGCCGACGACAGACCATTCCACAACGCGGCTGTGCGAGGCAAAAAGCTCCGCGAAAACCGCCTGCTTGAAAGCATAGGCCTGAATTGGCTTTTTAAATTCCTACGGTGATTACAATCTTACTAATATTATAAATGTGAAAGATTAGATGGATGGTTCGATGTTAGTGTTTGTAGTCTAAACCCCTGAATGCTTCTCGGTGAAATTTACGAGTAATGCAAATGTAGATAGTCTGGAAGAACACAGTTTTCTTATTTAGTCTTTTGTTTTAGTTTAACGTGAACGGAGTCGCGAGCGAATGTTAGTAATATCATAAACAGACAGATAAATATTTAAAAATACACTCAACGACTTCATGAAAATATAAATGTTATATAAAAATTAAAGTTAAAGAATGTTTTATATGTATCTTGTTAAGCATTTCTCATAATAAGATGCAGAAATTCTAACAAGTTTCGTTATTATACAACTCTGATATAAAATATGTTTTCTTCGAGGAATAAAATTTATATACAACTCTGTATCTCGGAGTTCTTCGTTACTTTAGTTGTTTTACTGCGGAATATTCTAGAAACAATACATAAATTATACACTCGAACACAAATTTTCTTTTTTGTATGTAAGTAACTAATAAACACTAAAATTTTGATAATGCTTTTCTAGTTACAAAGCTATATTATTACTGAGTAAAAATTATATTACTAGAAAACATTAAATCGTTCATAAATATCGCGCGGACGAAATTACTGACCAAACTTACAGTTGTTATTTTATTCAATTCCGTAAAAGATTAAAGTATAAATGGATTGTGTGAAAGAGGATATGCATAAGAAGGGAGTGGATTCAGATATGACGGCTGATAGAGATGTATGGAAGAGCATATACTGTGCTGACTCTCGTAGGGACAATGGCAAGTTGGTGATGATTAAAGTAATGCACATCTAGTCTCATATTATTTATGGTTACTTACTTACTTACTGTGTTGGCGCAGCGACCCAAAGTGGGTCTTGGCCTCCGACACGGAAGAGCGTCAGCGTCGTCTGTCCTGCTTCGTCGTCTGCCAGCCGGTCAACTCTAGCTCGCGCAGGTCCAGCTCTACGGTGTCTCACCAGCAGTATCTGGGCCGGCCGACGGGTCGGCGGCCCATCAGTATTCCGAAATACGCTTTTTTGCCTCCACGATCCTCCTGCATTCTCATCAAGGTAACTAACTTGTGTTTTTTTTAATTCCACGCTGACGGACTCGCGGGCGAAAGCTAGTTACGATATAAAAGTTATTAAACCGTAGGGTCGTATAAAGTTCAATAGCTTTTAAAATACTACAATTTGATATTTTCATAAAAAATGAACTTTTATATGTAATCTTGCTTTACTTTTACATAAATTATTTTCATTTTCTTCTTCAACAGTTAAAATATTAAATTTTATTACTCGTTACACTCCGCCGTTCAAACAGTAAAGCTTGAAATTTGTTTAGCTACCAAATTACTTTTATTCAATTACAAAATTTTATTAAAAGCTCTGAAGTTAAAAATCTCCACAGATTTCAGAACAAAATTACAGCGTATTCCTTAATAACGAATTCATTATTTTTCGCAAAAAAATCCGTTAATCGCTTTCGCGGAATATTTAAGAAAATGTTCTTTAATTTAAACCGTTTCAAAGCTTCTAAAAATTACAAAATCGATTTTAAATTAGGACATCAAATTTTAATCAAAACAGATTTTCAATAATATTTTATTCACATTAACGACTACATTCTTATCTGTTATTTTTTTTACACGTAAAGAAAAAATATATGAAAATAGCTCAGTAAAAACAGTATAAATAATGACTTGCTGGCTCACACAACTGGTGTAACTCTGTCAAAGTCAGATTCAATTGTAATCATAGTGAACATAACAAAGGAAGTCACTTTTCATACCAACATATTTCTTGCTAGTTTCTTATCTATAAAAATAGAAAAAAGTAAATTAACTATAATAGTTTTATTAATAAAAATGAAAAAAAAACACACTATTAGACCCGTCATCTTATTAAAATAGCAAAAAAGTTCAGAATCTTTGCTTTTTACGTGGATTAAAAAGTCATCCCTTATTTGATTATGTTTTTCAACAAGTGTTATAATTTTTATCCTTGTTTTACTAGTTTTTTTTAAATCGTAACATACCTAACGTTCATCTCGACTTGAGGTTTGGATCATTGTTTCCATTACCAAGATTACAAGCTTGGATCCAAGAGCTATAAAATATAAAGCAGACCTCGTAAAGTTACCTTTGTACTTAGTTACATTTATAGAAATCAATAGTTTTAACTCCATTGTATCTTTCTTTTTTTGTTTTTTAAGGAAGTGACAAAGACGACAATGTTAATAATCTCCCGACCTCTTATAATAGCTTTTGCTTCGTTGATTTTAATGACAGATACCTATTATTAATTATTGGTAGAACGCGCGCACACCTTTGACTAAGCCATCGCATAACTATTTAGTCGCGCTTAGATTCCAATGAGCCCATATTAAGGTGCGCACACTACTCGATTTTTAGTTGTACAACTAAACAGTTGAATGGGCTGCAAAACAATCGACAATCGCCCATCAGTTGTGCGATGGCATGTAAAAAAACCTATGAATAACTACATTTTTTAAACAAGCACACCTTGAAGTGAATTGTTTGAAAAAACGTAAAGCATCTTATTTAAGTTTTCCTTTGTCACAGAAGTTAACAGTGTTAAGGTTTCTTTTCACAGAGAACTAAGATTGTGTTTTAATTGGTTAGTAGAAAAAACAAGTTGTTCTATTAAAACAAATACCAGTCTTTATATTTTTAACAAGTAGCTTTTTCCGTTTTTGTTGAATGTTTTGTTTGTATAGACGACATTTCAATGGCTCCTACGTACACTATGGTTGTTTGAAACGCAATTTTTTCAAGACAAATCTTTAAACATTACACGATTAACTAGAACTTATCTACAGTAGAAATCTTCTTTCTTATGTTACTTTCAAATTCAGATATTATTTCGTATTCACATATTCACACATCTAAACTCTATACTAATATAATAAAGCGTAAACACACATTTCCTTGTAGCGTAAGATGTCAGCAATTACAGCATATTTTTAAATAATTACCATTTTAATAAAAATCCCTACACTTACGTTACGCTTTAGGCTATATATTTTCACGCTTATAAACTTAAGGGGTAAATGAATTGGATAAAAACCCTAATGTGAGAAAGAGATCATAAGCTACGAGCTGCCAACATCAAGAGCAAGGTTGTCATTTTTGCATTTGAATATTGAAATTTAACTGTAAACAATAAATAAAGTTTGTATAATTTTTGCGGATGAAGCCGCACGGGAACAGCTAGTTAGTCATAAAATTGTGATTGAAGATAGTCGCTGAAGAATCAAATTTTGTACAATTTTACAATTTTGCAATACCCTAGGAGTTTTTAGTAGTAACATTATCTTTAGTCATTTTAGTAATTTTAAAGTAGTCATTAAATTCTAGTCATTTTAGCATTTTTAGTCTATTAGCTAAGCAGGAATCCTAAAAAAGCAAAAAATTGTAATAGTATTTTATTGAAATTGTAAAGTATTAAGAAACTTGTAAGATTTTGACAAAAAACTTAAAATAAAGAAAAAAAGAGTTCCACCCGCACCTAACGTCGCTTTCCCAAAAACATGTTAGGGGGAACGAGAGGAGGGCAAGGCGCCGTCCATAAAAAATGAAAAAAAAAATACGCTAGGAGTGAGGTGGAAGCTGTCCTAACGATTTTATCTATGTTATAAATTACATCCATATCTGTTTAACAATTTTTAAGTTACATGGTATAACATCTATAGATTTATCTGTTGCAGATTTAAAATATAACAAGTAATATTCACTTTGTTTTAACCTTGGTAATGCAATTCAAGTACAGATAGCTATGAATATTATTTTATGCCTGTCTATAAAGTTTTAGGTCTCTGTATTGTGAAATAATATCTCACCATTGCTTCAAACATGATCGTAAACCCTCGAAAGGTTTAGAGGTATTAATTAAGGTATGATATTCGGTATTTTCGGTCCAAGGGTCAGGACATGCGGTTAGGTTTATAACTTTCTCAATATATGTTATGATATGTTACAAACTTGAGTAAACAACGAATTTTGTGGGATTTCGAAGTATGTTACTCTTTGTTAATATTGAAAATTCGGTCAGAGTTTGTTCTTGTTTAGTACTTTTAAATTTCTTTAATACGCACTCCTGTAAAATTTTCCTGCTTTAAACGTGTATTTTAAAGGCATGTAATTGTTTTTACAAAAAATGAAAAGGAATTCTCTATACGATAGTGTTTTTTTCCTTTAATAACTTATATGGATTTTTACCGTCAAATTTAAATACACTTCTATAACCATACTACTCTGTTTTATTTTAAGAAAGTAAAAGAAATAGAAATTGTATCGCAATACAAGAGTTACGATTATTAAGTTAATTGAGAGTAATATTGAGATAAGACGCTCAGTTAGAATTGATCAATTCAACAGTTTTAACTGAACAGTCGAAGCTACCCACAGTATTAACTGTTTACATTAACGCTGTGACAAATTAAGGTTACCGTTAAATGCTGTCAAAAACTTGTACTAAAACATATCCTTCTTTCTTTTTTCAAACGAATAAAAGAGATGGGAACATTATATCTATATACATACTTCTATACTATTATAATAAAGCGTAAACACACACTCTTTTGTTGCCTAAGATCTCAGCAATTATAGTATATTTTTGAATAATTCTTTTTTTAATAAAAACCCTAATGTGGGAAAGAGACCATATGATACGAGCTGCCAACATCATGAAGCAAGATTGCCATAGTAAGGTCATTGGTATATTGACGTTTGCTATTGATAATTTGACAAATGTAAACATTAAAATAAAATTTTCATTATTTCATGCGGATGAAGCCGCACGGGAACAGCTAGTCTTATAATAAAATACGTTTTACCAGTGGCAACACACGTTTAGTTTTATTACCAACAATAAACCTTCAGGTCGTTAAATCTGGTAGTCAACAAACCCGCGCGTTAATACAAAAGCTTATAACACGAACTCTGAATTAGTGGAAGCATTGGATACATTCAAATTACGTATTATCCTGCTTTCATCCATAGATTATCTTATGTGAATAACGCTGGTTTAAACTTTGAATATAATGTTAATAGTTTAGCATAATTTTGTACTTTAACTAACAACTACGATAGTTTTCTTTGTCATAAATAAATTAAGATGCGTTTTAAACTAATAATAAATGTGGCAATGTGAACATTGTGTTTGTTCTATTTCGATGAAATTTGGTATAGATGTAGAGGATGGTTTGGAAGAACAAATACTCACTTCTGTTTTTTTATTATTCCACGCTGACGAAGTCGAAAATTATATTGGTAAATTATATTAGGTACAACACGACCATACAGAAAATAGGCGTGAAGTGTAAGCAATACCGCGTTTCGTCTGATGAGTGTGGTGCCGGAGGCCTAATTATAGTCCCTTTCCCTTTCCACCCTTTTCTTAGGAGGCGACGCATAAGAAGGGGAAAAATCTTCTTTATGTAAGTCTCTTCCAGCGTCAATTAAGGGTAGATAACGCATGTGCAATCGCGGATGTTTATGGGCAGCGTTCGCTTTCCATTTCGGTGGATTCAGGTGGCCGCTTGCTCGTTTGCCACCTTATATTATAAAAAAAACTGCCACATTTTCTTCCCACTCAAAAGTATAAGGCAAGTTCAAAAAGCGTTTAAAAATTAAAAAAGATTCTTTCTTCGATAGCGATAAAAATGCAGGGCTGCAACAAACTCCAGTACCATTTTAAAAGTTTTTCAGATTACAATGTTTAAGTCTGGAGAGCGGAAGTTAATTAAAATTTAACAGCATCAAAGTGAACGTTCATGAAAGATTAATCAAGCTTTGATATGGTAATAGACCGTTAGAAAAGATTTGATTAAAATACTCTCAGAGTACCTAACTTAATTTTTAATGGAGGAAGAAAGTGCTGCTTGAATCACCAGAGATAAGTGCTTGAGGGAAACGTTAACAATTTGGAGGAGCTCTTAATAATCAATAATATTATTTCCATTATATAAACATTTATTAAGTATCAGAGAGATTTTTTTACAGTCATTAGGACGGTAACACATTTGGTAATTTTCTATAGTTTTATAC